CACTGATCTCTGGTCAGCTGGTCGCCCATTTCCGATTTGATACTGCAAACGCGCGTTCATCACCACCTCTGTCACCTGTCAATTGTAGTCTGGTATGCACTGACAAAAAAAACTAACGCTGACGAAAAGGACTGCTTCTACCAGCAATCAGAATCAACCCGGTTGGCGATTCGCCTGCATGATGAAAACTGCTGATACTCGAAGACCTCCTCGCAGAAGTCGGTGTCCATCGAGTCGGTGGCAGGGAACCTCGGATCAGGAACTGTAAATGACAACTCCATCTGGCTCCTCATACTCAACGGAGCTGTAGATCTCTGGAAGATGGCCTCATTGCATCAATGCCATAGAATTCATCGTTAGATGCGATATTGGAAAGACGATCACAAGGTCAAAGAAATCAACGATATCATGACTCACCACAGAAATGAAAGCACAGCAAAGCGCTACAGATCCTACCGCGGCGCAGAAGCACTGTTACCCCACTAACCAGCGAGTGGTTGTAACCAAACACTGCGTCCTACCTCCACACCATGCTAAACCTGCCACACCCCCCATGAGTTTTGGGCTCCTTCATTCCAGTAACGCGGAGAATATGAGACAACCTCGACATATCGATCACAATTCAGGAGACGAGTTAGTTGGCATAAAGCAGAACCAAAAGCAGGTGTGACTATCCGACATCCTGTTAGAGAAGACCGAAGCTTCTCAGAAAGGAAGCTACAGTGGAACAGCGGCATCTGCAATGCGAAGGCTAAGACAGAAAACGAGGTATACCACAACAGACTAGCAAAGTAGACACAGAAAACATGTGGCATAAAAACCTGAGGCAAGCGTGTCGAGCGATCAAACTCCTTTCACGGAGAATCACGATCCCATGCACAGCACCGGTTCAGCGGTTGGATGGGATTGTGTACACCTCAACTGTCGAAATATTATCCCGACTGTTGAAGATATACCAATCGGCTTTTAACGAAGCCACCCCAGGGCCATACGAAGAACTACAAGATGCAATCTCCACCTCAAACCTAGACCGGAAATCCGACAACTCTCCTCCTACGTTGCCTGCTATCCGCAACCTCAGAAATGGCTGAGCAGCCGGTCCCGACCTTATAGCTTCTGAAATGCGCCATCATGCCAATTAGTACGACTCCACATCCCATTCCTGAAGGTTTGGAGCACCGGCCGTGTATCACGATGTATAATAAAGCATCATCCAATATCACTTCTCTCAGTTACCAACAAGGTCTTCGCACATGCCCCTGCTGGCAAGGTTGAACCCTCGTTTCGTGAGACATCGCCGACGAATGCTGACAATGGACGTGATTTTCGCGTTAAGACTATTATCGCAAATACACTGGGAATTCAACCGGCAGCCGCACATGGCTTACGTACACCTGAAGTCGCCTTCTGACTCAGTAGATTACTCGGCACTCTTCAAAGCACTGTAAAACATCGGCTTTATGTACTTGTAGCTGAACCTTTAAAGTGACGTACACAGTGACATCAGTGCTCATACTCAAACTAGCTAAACTTTCTCAGAACGGTTTTCCCCATAGACCGGAGTGCGGCCGTGGTGCGTGCATGTCGTTGTCCTTGCCGAGTCACTAGACTAGACTAGATTATTGGGCATAAGCTGAGATGCAATAAAATTCGTGTTGGCGACACTACCTTCACAGATCTGCCTTATGCAGACGTGATCGTCTTTTCTGGCCTTTCTCCGTTGTTTTTCTCATCTATCCACTCCGCACTGAACAAGGCCTAGAAGAAGTTGAGTCTGGAAATTATACAGCAACCAGATGAAGGTAAAATTAGGGGAACTTGCACGACAGCCGCCAACATTCACGTTGACGACCGATCAAGCAGTCGAACTGGTGGAACGTCTCCACTACCTCGGGAACTTATAGAACTCTGCTGGACGGTGTAGAGCTAAAGTGCTTCGTTACATTGCCATCGCCGCTTCAGCTATATAGAATATTATGTCAACCGTTTGGTCATCGAGCACCATCTCCCACCTTACCAAGTTATTGCTTTATAAGACCTGCATTTTGCTCGTTCTGAATTATGGAGTCGAAACCTTGACGCCTCAAAAGATGGGCGCAAACATCCTTCACGCCTACATATGCCGAGTCAGAGGTGGCTCCTCAACATCACGTGGCATGACTACGTCCAAAACGTAACCATCACCGAATTAAGAGGATTATCCTTTGTCGGACACACAATCGACCAGCACAAAACCGCTCTGTTCCGTTATTTGGCAGAGCTGACAACAGAGGTAACGGGGTAGGGTGCTTTCGCTGCAGTTGTAAACATTCACGGACTCTCACCGTCGCCTTCCTCGCGACAGCCAAGAAGCAAACCATGGGACACACGGATTAAACAGCTTGCTTGAACAACCGTCCGATTTCTGAAGTGTTCGTGGTTACAATCGCCAGAAGCAAGTAGTACGGACAACGATCTTAATGACGAGCTCGTGCTTTGTGTTATTTTTGTCGTTCGCCTCACCAGAATCCTTTAAAATTTTGGTCGTGACCCAGGGCTGCTTTGCCTTCTTGATGTTGAAACCAATAAATTTGGCCACCGTGTCGACGATGCCTTTTTTCGACAGCAGCTGCAGATCTTAGGAGATGGTTATCTCCGTTTGGAATACCTCACAAATGACGGAAGCCTTCAACTCCTCCGTATCAAAGCGTACGTCCCCTCTGTCCGAAATGTTCTTCCAGCTACTCTCAGACGAAAGCGAAGTTTCACGACTACTACAATGAAACGGTCGGTTTCGATGTCGGCATTTCCTTTCGTTCTTCGTCGCTGATCAGCAGGTGATCGATCTGGCTTAAGAAATGACCTCGTGGAATTGTCCACGTCTGCT